ATAGCACGTATCTGTAATCATACTTTGGTTAACTTGATCCTTGTTTGTTTCTCCCACTTAACATATGCTCTAAGAGAACTGGGACTCTCACCACAGCATCCTTGATGTATGTGCTCAAAGACTGGTTGATATGCGTACATCATGTTTACATATGTGTGTATGCACTATCAGTAAGTTCTCTGAGGGTAGGTATCATATCTTCATCTTTTTGCCTTGTATATAGGAGGCACTTAACAAATCTGTGGAAGGAGTCAACTAATGCACATCTTGTTTTTTTCAAAATAAAATTAAGACAGGCAATTTTTTTTTTTTGGTCTGACTAAAAAATATCCTTCCTCCCCCAATCATTTACAACAAAACATCCTATCAAAAAAATCAGTGTTTCTCAGGATTTTTGTGCTGTTCTATTTTCATTGAAGTGAAAAGGCAGAGGAGGTTTCACAAAGCATTCTTTGATTTGTCTCCCACTTAATGCTTTTCATTCTCCTGAAAAAGACATACAGAAAACATTCCATTCTTTCAATACAGACATCCTGAAGGCATTCAAATGTCACTCAAAATTTTTTTTTCAAAAGCCACAGAAACCAACTATTCCTTGGATTTTTTTTTTCTTTTATGAGTCAAGGAACATTGTTTACAGCTTGCCCTGAGGCTTCTGTTAATGTTTGTTAGAATGGGGTGTTCAAGTAGAGTTGCTCTGTTCTTTTATAATGGCAGACTGCTGCAGATTAATTTTCCTCAACTCATATATTTTCAATGACATAGAATGTTATAAATAGCTTCCAATAAATAGGAAGGAAAGTCAAAAGTATTTTCTCGAACCTTCTCCTCCCCCCATTCTTTTAAATTCTTATCTAAAATTTAAGTGAATATTATTTTAATGTTCTAATTCCTTTTAGTTACTGAGATAACTTCTTAAGAAATTAAACTTTTTCTCAGTTTCAAGCATAATGTATACTTGATCGGCCCTCAACAATATGAACCTTTTCTATAGAAGGTGAAATATTGTAATTATTTGTCTTTCCATTAGCAGTAGCAATACTTATTAATTAGCAGCCTTCTCCAGTCTTCCCCATCTCTCTCTTCCTTTTTCTTAGTCTTTACTACACAACTCCCTCATTCAAAGTAAATGATCAAATAAATGTGTTTAAGTCTTTAAAAAGGAGGTTGTTGATCTGTTTTCTAAAACAAAAAAATGATCCCCTCTTACTACAGAGATGTTTTGACTTTTTTTCAGAAACTCCATGGATTATGAATAGTTTCCTATGTAAACTATGTAAAAGTTACTGATAAAATAAGAAAAATATAAGCTATTTTTCCATAACATAAAAATCCCACCACACAAAAAAGAATTTCTATCAAAATTCCTATTTTTCTGTTTTTCGTATCTAAAATTTAATGGAAGTCATCATTAAAGATATTCAGTAATCAAAATGATCCACAATATAATGTTGGTAGTGTATGTAAAAATGACTATAAAAGTAAAATGAAATATAATGTTATAGTAGGATAACTACAATGGCATCCTTAGCTACTGTTGGAAAACCTAAGTTTAGGGAGGGTGCATCCTTAAAGATAAATATAAATTATTAAAGGCAGTTTTAATAAATTTTAATAAATTTTTAGCTTTATTTTCCAACAGTGCTTTGAAAATGGAGTAGTAATTGATAATCACATCAATTCTTTTGTCTCAATATTAATGGTTTATATAGAAACGGATATAAAGAAAAGTTTCTCAGAAAGATGGAATTGTTCATTGTTCTGGCGGATATGTAAAAACAATGCTGACTCAAAAGCAGCCAAGTGGACAGCTGCAGATGCTGCACCCAATGGAAATACTAAGCAGGCATAGCACAAATCAATAATTAACAAAGCAGATGTACAAAGCTTGCTGAGGATGAATAATCGCATAGGCAGAATGGTAGAAGGAGCTGATAAGAGTACTAGTCTTGTAAGAAATTAGATAAACTCTTTATACTCGCAAATTTGTTAGCAAGAGTACTTCAGTGCCTAATAGTACACAAGGAATATCTTTTCAAAATGCTTTGATTAAATTGATATGCACCTTTAATAACACTTATCACTAAAGATTATTTAGAAATCAAAATTATCCACAAGGAAATATTGATAGGGTGACCATAAAAATAATTTTAAAAGTGAATAATGAAATAATGTTCTAGGTGCATCTAACTACAGGGGCATCAAATTGTTTATTTTTGTAATTCTTAGGTTTAATGAAATGTCAAAGAGGGAGGTATATCTTTAGGGCACATCCTTTTCTAACTTTGGTGTGTGTGTATGTGTGTATAAACCCTTTCCTAACTAGTCAGTAAGTTTCTTGGGGATAAATATCGTGTTTTATAATGTACTCTAAAAGTACTAAGCCCAGCGCCTTATATATAAATAAATACATTTTGATTTCTTCAGAATATAATTAAAATGGGCGATATGATTAAGTATGATTTAGTAAAAGCATTCCGAGTAAATTCTTTACATAAATGCTGAATATATGAGTTGGAAACATCTTTTAGGAGTCTTTTTTTTTTTTTTTGAGAAATAATTCTTAAATTGCAGTGACTTTAAAAACTAGAAATTTGCAGTGCTAATAGATGCATTTTTATAGCAAACTTGGAAAGCAAATTTCAGAGTTTTAGTTATATAAGGAAGATAGGTATGTAAGGTTCATTTATAGCCTTTTATTTTCCTCAGGACATATGTTGCAGGAATAACTGCCCTTATGAATGCAAGGATTCATTGCTCAAAACTCTATCAAGTGCTCTAACCTGAAGATTCCTTCTTTACATGGCCATTTTATATCATTCTATTTCTTTGAGTTATCATTGAAAATGTATACTTTCTACTGTCTACTTATTCGTTAATTTACAAATGTTTATTGAGTACCTACTGTGTGCCAGGCTCTATTATAGATGTTGGGAATATAGCAGTGAACAAGCAAAAATCACTTCACTTATGGAGATTTTATTCTAAGGATGGAGACAAGATAAATCAGTAAAATATTTGATAAATTAGTGTTCAGTACTAAGGGGGAAAAAAATGAAACAGAGAAGTAGGGTAGGAAATCTGAGAAAGAAGTAGAATTTTAAATTGAGTGGCCAGGAAAGGCCTCACTGAGAAGTGACATTTGGATTAAATCCCGAAAGAGGTGAAGGAGCTAGTTCTTTGGCTTTCTGGGGGGAAGAGCATTCCAGGCAGGGGAATCCCCAGTTACAAAGGCCTTGAGGTGAGCCAGTGCCTGGCATAGTTGAGAAATATCAAGGAGGCCAATGTGTCTGGAAGAGACCAAGGCAGAGAGTGGGGGGGAAATGAGATCAAATGGATGACAGGTGGCTGGGTCATAAAGGACCTCATAGGTAAGAATGGAAGCCATTGAAGTGTTCTGCACAGAAGAGTGTCATCTGACTTTTTAACAGGACCACACTGGCCACTGAATTTTGAGAATAAAGTGAAGAGGGCAGGGATGGAAATATGGAGATCATTTAGGCTATAGCTATAATCCAACAAGAGATGGCGGCTTGAAACAGGAGGGTGGCAGTGGTGATAGTGAGAAGTGGCTGGATTCTGGGTATATTTTGAAGATACTATTCACGGGATTTTCAGACAGAATACGATGTAAGGTTTTCTACTATTTGTGATAGTTAAATTTCCACTGTTCCCTTCTAACTGATCAAAAAGTGACAAATTCTCACACATTTTCTGTCATTCCTAGATTATCATGTTAACATAACTTTTGTTCCTGAGTTTGAAAACATATTTCAGTGATTTCTGTGTCCTGTCTCAACCTTGAGGAAGGGTAAAGAGAAAATGTGGCTCAGAAATTTGACAGTGACAACACTATCTTATGAGCTCATCCTAAACTGTAAGCTCGGGGAGACTTAGTCCATTTACCTTATTTCCTCCAGGCCTGTCTCAGAACCTTGCACACATCAGGCTCTCAAAAAATGTTGAATGTCTCTACATTTTCCACGGAATAACAAACTGAAGACAACATCCAGCGGTATCAATTGCACAATCATAAATTAAAATGTGTATTTTAGGGGCGCCTGCGTGGCTCAGTCGGTCAAGCGCTTGCCTTCCACTCAGGTCATGATCCCAGACTGCTGGGATCAAGCCTGCGCGGGGTCAGCAGGGAGCCTGCTTCTCCCTCCCGTTCTCCCTCGGTGCTCTCTCTCTCCCAAATAAATAAATAAAATCTTAAAAAAAATAAAATTTGTATTTTATTAAAGATATTAAGCTGGAATACTCAACTGATAAATGTATTTGAGCTTCCTCAAATAATGAAGATGCTCATTAACACCTTTCAACCTATAGTTGCTTTAGCTTTTCCTAACCTTTTAACTAAAGGGCGGAGGAGACTGGCTTTGCAATTCACAGCTGGAGCGGTCATGTCCAACCGCCTCTCTCTTGTGAAGTTCCCGCAGTGTTCAGCCGTCTTGAACAAGGCACAAACGTCTATAGGAATTATAAGATGCAGCTATAGCAGTGGCCTGAGACCCAGGCCTCTCCCTGGGCCCAGCCCACACAGACCACCGAGACACGGGCCTACGCTGTGCACGCCGGGAGTTGTAGTTTCCCTCCCTTCTCTCACGTCCTTTCGAGCATAGCCGCCGGCGCGCTAGCGCCCCAAGCGGCGCGCAGGCTCTGTGAAGCGCAGCGCACGAGGACAGCGAGGAGCGTTTCCTAGCAACGGGGGAGCGGCAACGTCACGGCGGCTGGTTCTAAGCGCAGCTGCAGTCTGTAGAGTAGCTGTGTGTACCTTTCCGCACCTGTGGGCTGGAGGGAGCGCTTCTCGCAGCCGTGTCCGAACGTTCTTCGTCTGTCCTTACCCGCTTTATCCTGCCCCAGGTCGCGGAGAGCAGCCTCCCGCCGCGACCCGCCTCTGAGGCCCGGGCCAGAAGCTAGAGGCGGTCCGGCCGGTTCCCGCTGGCCCTCGCCCCCCGCGCCGGTGGAGCCCACCAGCCGCCCGCGGCCTCGGCGGGACGATGCTGGAGTCCATTCGCGTGACGGGTGAGTGCCGGGAAGGGCTGGCCCCTGGGCTGGCAGGGGCGGCTAGCGTCCTCCCGGCCGCTGGCGGCGGGTGTGGGGCGACTCGGGGCCCCAGCCGCCCAGAGGCCGAGGTAACGGTAGGATGTGGGCTCCGCGCGGGGCGCGGGCGCTCAACCTGGCGCCGGGAACAGTGCGCGGCGCGCTGGCGGTGCTCAGAGAAAATGCGCGGAGGAAAGACTGAAAAACGGTCCCTTTTCCTTTTGTCGCTTATTATCAGTAAGCACGTGCCATGGAATCTAGGGAAGTAAATTATGATATACACATTATTGGCCCTATAAATGTGCTGTCTAAATATTTCATTTCAAAGCGTATTAGGTGTTATACGGTACTGGCGTCTAATTTTCTAGAATGTTCAGAAAAATCAGCTAAGCAAAAGAACACATTCCTGTATATGAGTGTTTACGCAGTGTTTATTTCTCTCTATGCTTTAATTCTTAGTGAGAACGTTTTCAGTTGGTATTATTAGTAGGTCACTCTATAGTATGTATTATACCAACCTGAAGAAATGGGTGTTCAGACCCCAGGTCAGAAAGTTTACTTGACTTTTATTTAAAAAAAAAAAAAAAAAGTATGGATGTTAACCTTTTAAATATTATATTACATATTAGAAGGCTTTTCTTGGTCATTATCCCGGCATTCAATTCTGTACATTTCTGCAAGACAGGGTTCGTGGTAGTCCAGTATCATGATGAAGAACAACAGAGTAAAGGGAAATGCCTAATCCTCAAGCTAGTGTCAAAGTAAGGCTGGAATTTTTTACCATCAGGCATTGCAGTACCAAACAGACCATTTTTTTTTCCTATGGGTTTTTAAATTCTAAACTGAATTCCTTTCCAATGAAAATACTTGTGGTCTTAATTTTATGGTGTTTTACTTCACGTTCGGTTTTTTAAAATAGGGAGCTGATACTGTACTTTATCTTATTACTTATGTTGACAGGAAGCACAAGATTTAAGAAGCAACTTAAATTAGCATTAGTTTTTTAAAAATGTAATTTGATGTAGACACTATTTCTTCATCTTAAATTACAATTAAAAATTTGGAAGTTACTCAAAAATACCATACCTTCTTTTTGTTTTGGAGCAGGGTCTCTCAGCTTTGCACTACTAACATTGAATTAATGGATCATTCTTTGCTGTGGAGGGCTGTCCTATGCATTGTAGAATGTTTAACAGTACTCCTGGCCTCTGCTTACTAGATGCCAGTAGCACCCCCCCACACACACATATACACACAGTTGTGATTACCAAAATGTCACCAGACATTGTCAAGTGTTCCCTAGAGGGCAAAAATAACTCCCCTCCCCATTTAAAAACCACTGCCTTGGAGAAAAATATAGTTTGATTCCGTCAAAGTGAAGGTTTTTAGACAACGATTTAGAATAATATCAATTAAAATAATTTCCCCCAAACAAAACAATCATGGTAGAGAGAGAATATGATTATGGTAATAGTAGTATTAGTGGGTATTCTGACCAACCAGTCAGCAACAAAGTGGATCTCCTTTTCAGTAGGTGGAGGTGGAAGTTTAAGGAGAGGTGCTTTATGAAACAGTAGACTCTGTCCTCTTGTCTCAACTCCATTTCTCTAATTTAGCAGCAGAAATCACTCCAACTATGCATGTTGCATACCCTGAGATAGATAATTTCGCAGTGAGTTTCTATAGTTCAGTAAGAATTAAAACAGCCATTTGAGGCATCTAGAGCATCAAATTAACAGCCCTTTTAAAAATAATTGATCAGGTGATTTTTCAAAATAGTTTATTTCTTTTATATAGTACTTGACTAGTTAAAATGGTAGTTTCAGAACCCTATGACAAGCACTTTCACTAACATAATAGAAAACCCAATTTGGACATCTAGAAACTTAAAGAGAGTATAGCTGAAAACATGCCCCCCTTTTCCCTTGCTGTCCTCTCACTACTCATTAATACCTAAGAAGCCCATGTTCTTCTGGTGGTTTCTAATCTCAGGAGTGAAGCAATTAAATATTTCTGAAATCTCTTTCTGTGTGATATCTTTCTTTTGACTTATTAGTCATAATTTAATATAATCTAAATATAATGTCCTGGTAGAACTGCTGACTGGGGAAGTAAAATAAGATGTCTATGCTATGTATACTGTTTGAAATGGAATCAAATCAGAAGTTTTTGTTTGCCTTCTCATACCTTTTGAAAGATAGTTTATTATACTAAAGCCACTAAAATGTTGATTCTAGAATGTAGATGCAATTACTGTTAAATTTACCTTGGAAGTCCAAATGTAATGATTCTAAATACTTTCCCATTTATATTATCCCATGGAGTATTTCTGTAGGAGCTGAATATAATATTGAATTTAACAATACTGGTAGGTAACACAGGCTGCTTACTACAGGCTGGCACTGTTCTTAGCATTTCATGTACATTAACATTTTCAGTCTTCACACCAATACTATGAAATATGTAGTAGTATTACCCCATTTACAGATAAGGAAACTGCAACACAAAGAAGTTAACTTGGTCAAGGTCACAGCTACTAATAAATAGCCAAGATTCAGATTGGGGAAGTTCCATTCCAAAGCCCATGTTTTCAACCACTAGGAAAGGCAGAACACTGTTAACAATGACTATATGTTGATTTAAGCCACAAAGTTGAACATGAAGATCTCGTTTAACATCAGTGGTATATTATCTGGTAGTTTACTCAAGGTGTTCTTTTTTAAGTTTTTATCACAAGCAAGCTGTAAATAAGTTTTGCCTGGAAAAATCGTACTTTATTATAAAATTTTCAAGACAGAAGACCTCTAGCTCATTCAATAAGTAACAAAAAGCTGTCAGAAGCCATATTATGTTAATTTTTGATTTCCTACTGCCCATATTTTGTATGGGATATAAGTGATTAATGAAAAGAAATAATTAACGAGTTATCTGGAAATGAAGCTCCTTTGTAACAAAAGTGAATGTTTAAAAATACTGGAGACAAAAGTCATCTTAAGGCCCCTGTTTGGCCATATGGGATGAATACCCTTAGGCCCATAGCTCCTGTTTGTGTTATAGCAGTAGGTACCTGCCATTAAAACTTGTCTTCAACATCACTGTTTCATTTTTTTTATGCCATCTTGGTATGATTCTTTTTCTCAACCTTCAGGCGTTCAAATCCTGTATCCTTTCCTTTCTCTCAAATACTATCTTCCCGTGGCTGCATATTTGGTCATCCTTTCATAAGCAGGGCAGTGAGCCAGCAAAAACAAACAGGTGTATGCCATAAAGAGACAATTTCAGTATTGGAGTAGGCCATCATACAAACCAATGTAAAACTGCAACTGTGACAAGTGCTTCAAAGCACCTTCCTGGGAAGTTGTCCTGGACAAGTGATATTTGAACTGAAGGGTGAGTGAGAATCTAACACAGGGGAGGAAGGGCTCTCCAAGTATAGGGGACAGTGTATGAAGAGGTGTTGTGTCTGGAGCGAGAATGGTGAGTGCGAGGGATTGACAGAATGAAAGGAAGCTACTAGAGTGGACTGATTAATGGGAACATGGTGCAAGGAGGCCAGAGAGGCAGAGTGACCTGACCATGAATGACTTCATATGCCATGGTTAGGAGTTTTGTATTCATCCTAAGTGGAAAGCCATGGGGAAGTTTGTTTTCTGGCATGTTCATTGTTATTTCAAATGGTGTTTAAAGTGGCATTATAGAATACCCTGCATATTTCTCACTGTAAAATAATAACACAACAGTTTCTGACCAAAAAAATGAGAGTGTCACCTTATAATCATTGTTACTTGTTGAGTAACACTGAAGTGCTCCTAACTGGGAGTGTGACATTTTTGGGAATCCTGAAGTAAAGTTGACTTTCTCAGTTCCTGAGTGACATGAGCAGTGCCTTTTCATCTCTCTCTCTCTTTTTTTTTAACTTACGATTGAGAAACTATATTGGGTTCTGTTGAATTTGGAGATACTAAAATTAGTAGATTATCTGTTATAATGCAGACAAATTGGGCAATAAATATGTTTTCAAAGATACTGATTTTTTCATATACCATTTAAAAGATTAAGGTATAGCTTACATTCAGTAAAGTTCACAAGTCTTAAATGTGTAGTATTTGTGCATATGTAACCACTGCCTAGATGAAGATATAGAACATTTCTAGCACCCAGTACCTGATGCCTCTTCCTAGGTTATAACCCATCCCTCGGTGGTAACCACTATTCTGATTTCTAATACCATAAATTTTGCCTGTTTTTGAACTACGTAAAAATGAAATTATATAGTATGTACTCTTCTGATGTTATATCATTTGAGTTTTAAGTGATGAAGAAGTACTTGATAAAATTAAAATGTTAATTTTGTTTGGGGCTATATTGTTTTGTTTTGCCTTCTGTTTGTAATCAAGTAACCTATCGTCTTGTTACATAAATTATGCCGGGTTCTCAGGTTTCATCAATATTAGTGAAATGTATGAAATTGTCATTTTGTGGGTCAAAATTGGTTGAATGGTACTTTCCACCAGGCTTTGTTTCTGGTGATCTAATCTTCCTTTCAGCCATAATTATTGTGAAACCTCACCTCTTTACAGTTGTGAAAAACAAAGTTTAGTGAGTTCCTCTCTTTCCCATTCCTTTAGATGAGGAACATGAGGAACTGATGGGTTTAATGATTAGGCTAATATTACAGAGAGGTCATTCAAAGAACTGGGAATGGAAGCCAAGAATCCTGGTATCCTTTTCTCCTGTTCTAGATACAAATTAAGCTTTCATTGTGTTGGTAATTTCAGTATATTCACCTACTTGTGAATATACTATCAATTTTAATGTAATATTCCCCTTTTTTCCTTCAATAAGGTAATCAGGTTGGGGTGAATGATCAACAAATTATTTTTGTTTAAGGTTATAGTGAAGTAGATTGCTGATGGCTAAAATGTCATATTACATGGTGACTTTTTTTTTTTTTTTTTTATTTGACAGAGAGAGACACAGCGAGAGAGGGAACACAAGCAGGGGGAGTGGGAGAGGGAAAAGCAGGCCCCCCGTGGAGCAGGGAGCCCGATGTGGGACTCAGTCCCAGGACTCTGGGATCATGACCTGAGCTGAAGGCAGACACTTAACGACTGAGCCACCCAGGCACCCATACATAGTGACTTTTAATATAAGAAAGTAGGATTGATTGCCTTATTACTTTTCTGAGAGAAAATGAGTACACTTCCCCCAAAGAAGCCTGCATATGCTTTTAACAAGTTTTGATTTTTTGAGGAAAAAGAAGAATAGGATGTTCTTCAATGAAATGTTCTTATGGGCCTTTTATTATGTTTTTATGCATGTTTAAAAGTCATTTTTTCTTAAAGTAAACAATAATAGTTAAAATTACAAAAACAACCTTTAGGTTCTCTAATAGTACATTTTAATGCAACTGAAATAAGATCAGTGTGACTCTGAGAAATTAATTTATATTCATCTTGTATGAGTTATTCAATCACCTGTCCTGCTTTTATGATCTTCGTGGGAGATTAGCATTTGGCAGGATTGGTGTTTTATTAAATAAATACACCATTGGCACTCCCAAACCTTACTCATCAGCAGATGATCTTAAAAAGGACTGATGCTAAACCTCTCAGGTAGATAATTAGCAAGTGAGCTGAAATTCTATGACTCCTGGGGGCGGGGGAAAGGGTTTTGCCCTACACACACTGTCACCTCTCTCCCATCCTCCACTCCCCATTGAGGGATTTGGCAGGTGGTTTAGGACTTTTGTTAAGTGTCCTGAAGTGTATAGGTTGTTTGAAATGAAAGAAAATTCTGAATTTAGAGGTCACTGATGCTTTATGACAAAACCAAAGAACTCTTGAGTTCAGCTCTGTGGTCATAGAGCCACTAAGTCTTAGGAACCAAAGAAAGCATTTTTACCAAAGAACTCTTGAGTTCAGCTCTGTGGTCATAGAGCCACTAAGTCTTAGGAACCAAAGAAAGCATTTTTACACTGAATATTCGTTTTTTAAAAAATCAACAAAATACACATGTAATAAGCCATCAAAATCTAGGAATTCTTTAGAATAGTCTGATTTTAATTTGGTAACTTTCTCCATTTTTATTATGAAGACCAAATGAGAAAAGAATCTGATTACCTCCCTTTACCTTCCTGGCTGTGCCTACTCCTCACCTGACTTTTCTAAGTTTGCGATACCCTTATTATCTCAGTTTTCTTGTTCTTTCCCTTTTAGTGTCCATTTCAGTCTTCCTTTCCTAGTCACCTCTTGTCTTGTAAAGTTGTGTCTTTTTAGGGAAACTGACATTGTTCATGGGCATTGAGCTATAGCCTGGGTTCTGGTGTTTCTTAGCCTGTGTTTGCCCAGCCTGCCCCATTTGGACTATCATTTGGCAACACTTAAGTCTGAAACCCCTGAGGAACTGAGACCTACCAGCCCGTAATGAAAGTTTTATTTGTTCTGTTTATTTTTGGCTGTTTTTTTCCCATTTATTGAATGGCTTCTTTGTGCAGTCAACCTTCAACTTGACCCTGCGCAGTCTAGCTCCTACCTCTGAGCTTGTACGTGTAGTAGACATTTAGCCCTTGTAGATTTATGCTTTTATGTTATCTTTAAGACACCAGAATTCAAGTTTAACATGTTGGCCTAGAAAATGTTAACTGGAAGGACTTTTAAGTACTTACATATTTGGAGTATTATCCATTTTTGATCTGGTACTTTATCAGGTCTTTACCCTAAACCCTATGACTTCTAAGCTTTAAAAACTTATGTTTAGGGCAGGGTTTCTTTATCATAGCACTATTTTGGGATGGATATTTTTGTCGTAGAAGTCTGTCCTATGCATTGACAGATATTTAGCATCATCCTTGGCCTCTACCCACAAGATGCCAGTAGCACCCCTCCCTCGTTGTGACAACCAGAATGTCTCCAGACACTGCCATATGTCCCCTGGGGGACACAGCTGCCTCTGGTTGAGAACCACTGGCCCAGGGTTTTCCCCCTGTTATATTTTCACTTCTGCAGTTATCTCCTAGAACTGTAGAATGATTCCAGAACTACAGATACCTGTTTATCTAGAATGGTTGGAGAGTGACATGTTTAGGGTCCTGCCATTCATTCATTCATTCATTCAGTGTACATTTACTGAATGTCAGATCATGCTAGATATTGGAAGAAATGAATAAAACACAGTTCTGGTACCTATCTTAGTACATCAGTTATTCAGATTACCATGTCTTATTAGGGTCTATGTTCTGTACAGAGGAAGAAAAGGTGCAGTGCTGTGCATATAGCAGACTTAATATTGAATATGTGCTGATAATTGAATGAATGGCCATATATAACACAGCAAGCATGGACTCTGTAATCACATACACCTGCATTCAAATCAGTTTGCAGTTTATTACTTTATTGTCATATAACCTTGAGCAAATTATTTAACATTTCTGAGAGTTAAGTGATATGTAGTTTTCTCTGAAATCCCAAACTCACATAAATGTGTCAACAAACGGTGTCTGTCATTATTATTATTATTATTATCATCATCATTACTATTAACCACTGGTTATTATAGAAAGGATTCCTGAATGTCTAATCTTAAATGAGGGAATGACAGATGTATGTGGATAAAGTTTTCAAAAAATTGAAATAAAATGTGTTTCTTGGCAAGGCAGGCATCTGTCCAAGTCGGCTAGCATTGAATAATAGGAGTCAAAGGTTGGGGGCTGGAGGCATTAGGGTCCATTGAGAACTGGTTGAGAGAATTAGATGTCACTTGTAGAGAATTATGTGTAATTTGGAGGAAAGGTTTATAAGCAGGTTTGGCCAGAGGTCAGATTTGTAGATAGGAGTTGGCCTGGAATCTAGTTTTGATAAGTAGGATTTAAGACAAACTCACTTTGTTGGTTTAGAATTAAATCTGAAAGTTCTTAAAGGTCTAGATGCAGTCTCATCTGTTTCTCTTCACATTGCTTTCTTCTTGCTCTGATTTCTAGGTTATTGTCTGTATTTTCTGGTTTTCACATTTAAACTTACACTACCTTGTATTATTATTCAAATCTTCAGAGGACTGCCTTGCCTTCAGAGCCAGATTAGAAGCCGGTTGAAGGCAGGAACAATGGATTTATAAAGATGTTTCTCATAGCCATGTACCTAATTAGTAGTATTCCATATATTTGTGGAATGAAAGAATGCAAGTCAACACAGTTTTAAAGCAGTGCATGAGCATCAGTCTATCAAGTGATTCGTACCACTTTAAAGCACTTGTGAAATCTAAAGGCAAAGCTGACCTCTCCTTCATTTACCATATGATATTCTAATGTCTATGTAATAGTAATTACAATTTTTTTCAGACTTGGCAAGAAAAAAATCTTAATTTTCTTTCGTATTAACCTGTAGCCTAGAATTAAGAAAATCAACCAATTGAGTGACATTACTAAAACATGCTTTAACATACACATATCATTTATTTAATTTTAAAAAATGATTTTTGAAATAAATAAGGCAGTGTCCTCCTTTAATGATGGCTATCTTTATTTATAGCATCCAATTTCAAGATTGTGTTGGCTTTGAAAATGCTTTGGATTTTACTTTGATATTGGTGATACTATTGAAAATTATATCTTTTCTGTGAAATCATATTCTTTGGTAGAGTTGACTATTCAGATTATTTATGTGTATTATCTCACACTGATATTAAACTTTGATCATCTAAATAGTTTGAAACTGATAATTTTTATAGATAATTTAGCATATATATGCTTGTATAGAAGTGACACTGTCTAGCATGACCAAAGTTAAATAACATATTTTTTAATATTTAAAATGTCTTTTCTAGAGATTGTTGCAAAATTATAAAGTTTACAGAACCTTCAGAATACTTTTTGTATAATAAGCAATTTGCTTCATTTGGTATCTTTGTTATTTCTTTTGTTTTGATTTTGTTTATTAACACAGAAAAGCTTCACTGGCCTGAGCAAGAACTTGCGAAGAAGTCTGTACTAAATGCAGAAGAGCCATTGATCATTGACAGCAAAAGAAGCATTTCACATTTATCTTCTGGGATACTAAAGGACATTTTCACAACTGGAACCAGTAGTTACAATGTCCTACTACAGAGCAAAGAGGAGAAAAAGCATTATTCACAAAAACAGTCTTCCTCCACCTACTCCAAAAGATGTAGAAAACCCAGCAAATCTCCTAGTTCTTCTCGTAGTAAAGATCTTCGCAAGATGAAAGCCCCAGTGCCTGTGATGAGCAGTGGTACTTGGTACTGCCTAGAAAGGCAGCCTGGTGTTTTTGTCACTAGTTCAGTGTCGAGTCCCATAAAGTTTACGCATGATATCTCTGTTACAGGGAACAGCATAGTACTGCCACCTAAACCCAAAAACAAGGTAAAGCGACGCCATTTCTCTGCTCTGCCAAAGCCAAAGCTGCAGCCTCAATTGTCTAGAAGTTTTGAAAAAGGAGATGACTTTTCTGGGAAGAAATTTTGTATACTGACTGCCATAAAGCCCACCAACTTGGAGAAAGAGAAACTGAGATTCTTCAAATCTGACTATACCTACAATCCTCAATTTGAATATGCAAACCCATCTCTGCCAAGTGTGTTAGCCAAACACAGCAATGCATCTGACCGATTTCTTAAACAGGTAAAACACTACTTCAGTAGTGGCATTTCATTTTTATGTAACTAAAGCAATTATTTGCAATCTTATAAAAGGAAAAAGACTTTAAAAAATATTTCAGTTATTTATATGTTATAGTTAGCTCCCATCCAGGACACGTAAATATGTGACAAGAAATCTCCAGGTGAGTGCCATAGCCTGTATGTAAACTATTTTGCACTAGTCAGAATCTATCAAGAATCTGTTAGACTTTGTGATAGGAAGCATCTATATTTGGAAGAAGCTTCAGATTCTGGTTCCAGACTTTCATTTGGGAGTTACATACTTGTAGCCCATTAGCCAACCCACAGACGAGTGTTGCATAGCTGACACTGTGTTTGTGTTTTCTATTTGAGTATGCCTTAGGCGGATCATACAATCTTTGGTTCCCCTGTTGTATTACATTTCCACCTTACTTAGCCTCCATGGGCATTTTGGGGAGCTAGGTTTGATACTTGCCCATGAACTTTTTAATGCTTTACTGAAATTACTTATCATCATCAAATAAATATTTCAGCACTCATTTAAAGAAGAAGATAATGGAGTTTTAAAAATTATTTCCAAGGTTAACAAATCATGATGTAAATGCTATGAACAACACTTTTCAAATTGCTCAATTTAGACACTTATCACATAGTTTTGTGTATTACAGAGCTTAATAAACTTTGAAATCCATTTAAATTATTGAGGGGAAATTGGCTGAAGGGCGTGGTGTTGAGATCATATAGGTAGACTACATTTTGTTCAGTTAACTTTCTACACATTTTTATAATACATGAAGTTCAACTTGGCTTTGTAAGTGATTGAAAATCTGTTTGTAGGCTAGGTAAAACTGCATGGTTCCATTTGCCTGTGGTGTGTGCCCTATTTTAGCATTTTTCCTACAATACAGTTCCTTGGACTTGTGGCCAGCAGATTTTTTGTTATAAATGACATAAAATCTGACCAGTCTTTTGAAGCCATTGTGTAAAGCTTATTTTAGGATTACAATAATTTTGGTCTTCCTATTTATTTTCCTTTGTTAGAAGAAACCTTTTCATCTGCTTCTCTGGATTTTTAATGGGTATTCACTTTTTATTTAAATGTGGTGAGATTGTGCTAAACACTAATAAAAAGGTCAGCTTTTGTTTTTATTCCTGTTTTGGCAGACATTTTCTGATTTTTTTTTTTTGAAATTGCAATTGATTGAATAGGGCTTTCACTCATTTAAAATTTATGATAATTATAAAAATGCTATTTGCTTTTCCACCCATTAGTACTAAAAGAGATGGCTGAGATTTACTTACCAATGTTGTTTAATTTGGTATCCTGTCCTTACCCCTGCCAGTTGGGAAGGATGTTTCCCACCATTGGATCAAAGTAAATGTTCTCTCATTTCCCTGGAAGACAATTAGGAAGCATCAGCAGCTCCACAGACTGAGAATTGACACTGCTTGACCTGTGACTTTACAATCTATTTTAACTCAATTCCAGCTTGAGGAGATAAATGTATAGTTAGGTTGCTTGAGTATATAATATAGCACCAGCAGTCTTAGCTGGCTGTGCTTCACATGCCACCATTTGGGAGAATGCTCCCAACAATGCCTAGTATACTATTTAAACCACTCTAATCACATAAAAGGGATTCATTAGAACAAGTCCTCCATAAAATATGCTTAAATTCCCATTCAGCATCTGAGTGAATTATGACATGATGTCATACATCCTTCCCCTCCCCAGCTGTGAAGCAAAAGCACAGCTTCAGAGCTAGTCTCAGGATTCAGAAACATGCTGCACAAAGAGGCCAGGAGAGCTAAGTCACCCATTGGTCTCTGGCTTCCACCCGGAAGGCCTTGTCATTCTCTAGGAGATCATCTAGTGTCAAGATCTGAATCCTTCGGGGCGCCTGGGTGGCTCAGTCGTTAAGCGTCTGCCTTCGGCGCAGGTCATGATCCCAGGGTCCTGGGATCGAGCCCCGCATCAGAAGCCTGCTTCTCCCTCTCCCACTCCCCCTGCTTGTGTTCCCTCTCTCGCTGTGTCTCTCTCTGTCAAATAAATAAATAAATAAATAATCTTTAAAAAAAAAAAAAGATCTGAATCCTTCTGTGGCAGGCAATCTACACTGTTGTTGGAGAGTGAGCATGATCCTCCAAAATTCACAGATTGGCAGAACAATGTATAATTTTCCATGTACAGATAAGTCTATCAGAGTAGAACCAAAGCAATGGTCAAGCTCTGGTCATTCCCAGTTGATGGTCCCATTGATGTCAAGGAGTTCCAGGATTCAGGATTTTGTGGTCTAGGCATTAGGTTCCCCAGGAGAGAGTCAGGTCCTTGAGGTGGTTCATGGGATCTAGCATGGGCTATAGGACTTGAATATAACTCCAGGACTTGAATAGAATGTTTGAATATAACTTCCCGCTAGCCCCTTGCTGACAGCCATGGTGGTCCTCAGCTCCCCAACCCTTGAGTATGTTTAAGCTCGACAGAAACGGAGAATATCTGTTTTCTGTGGCTCTGGACCTTTGCTGGAAAGAGTCCAGTGCTTCCTGGGGGCTGAAGGGATCTGGGATGAGAGAATGCTGAAAGCTTTTAAGGGTCAGGTGCATCCTCACCAGTGGGTCAGAAGTGGATCCTTAGTGGCACTGTTGTGCAGTAAAACTGACAGCCCATGCACTTTCTGTCCTACTTCCTGGGGGCTGACTAACCCTGGGAAACCTAGATACCAAATCCATTTGGGTTTGCATTCTGTACTTTGTTGAATAAGATTGATAGAGATGAGAAGAGTCTTCAGGGTGGTAATAAGAGTCCTTGAACTATTTTCAGTATTTCCAGCAGTCAAATGGAAATTATATATTTACATGATAAAGCCAATGGACAGCTTAAGTGATTTGTTTTCTACCTCCAGCTGAAATCATATCTTAGTGTAGATCCAGGCTAGCTCATGCTATCTAGAAGTTCTGATTGGTAGAGTGGTATTTAATAACATTGGGAAAATAAGTTAACTTTTGTTTGGATAGGTAAGATAAAAGTTGAATTATTTTCTTATGTGTTAATAAAACTGGAGCAGTGGGGATAATTAGCAATTGGTAAATGGGGAGCTTTTGTGTGAGACAAGGAAGGCTTTGGGGTGTTGGGTAAAGACCTTGGAACAAGGCTACCCTCTGGCTGATAGGGAAGAAAAGTTAAAGGTAGGTGTGCAAAAGGAGCTGACAGAGCAGGCCCAAGACTGCTGACTTTAGGAAGTCTGCTTGCAAGATTAACCTTGGCCTGGTGTCTGGGAACTTAACTGGTAAACAGTTTCCTACACTGAAATAAAACTTTCCCTAAATGATAAGAGTAGCTTGCTGTGCCTAAACTGTGCAAACAGTGTTTGTTTATAGTAATACCTCTTTTCCTTTTGGGAGTCTGGAATTTTGGAACATGCTAGGTGTAGGGGTACTTATGTACCAGCCCCCAGTAAAAACCTGGGTGCTGATTTGTAACATGTTTCTTTGGTAGACCACTCTTTACACATTCTTAGAACTCAGTTGCTGGAGAAATTAATTGCATCCTTTGTGACTTCATTCAGAGAGGACTCTTGGAAGCTTGCTTCTGGTTTCCTTCAGACTTTACTGGATGTAAGAAATGGGGAGTGGTGGGCTTCAGTTGATCTCTGAAAGGCATTTATTTACATTCACATTTTAGAAAAGAAGAAGAAAAAATTCTGTACTCAATACCTGTTTGGGCTGTTGTATTCGCCATCAGTTTGAGATTCCTGATCAGTTCTAAGGTCTGGTTTCTATAGCCATTGTGTTACACAGTTCTGGGGGGGCTGTTAACACATTGAACCTGGGCCCTACATTTATACAATAGGGTTAATATTTACCATAAGCTTGGGGTTCTTTGGCATCATAATACTTCTCTAATACTTTCTAGTTGTATGATATTTGTACAGAACGTCAGGTAAATTAAGTGTATGCTAAGTTAGAAATTTTGCATTGAGGGTAGATGGGGAAGAGTGAACAAAAGAAGCATATTTGTTCTCCATATACTTGTATTATTATGAAATTGCTGACACTGCCTTTTGTTTTTTTTGTGTGTTGTTTTTTTTAAGGATCCTTACTCCTCTGTTATTCCATTAAAATTGCTTTGGAATTTAAGGACAGAGTCACATGAACCATCAGTGTGTGACAAATTACAACTAGCATTGATGGGGTACTTAATACTTGCTTGTCACTCTGTTTGCTTAGTACTTTCATCTTTAGTTCCTCACATGAGATGCAATACTTACAGCAGTTGAAAAAATTGATTTAGAGAAGTGAAGTAACTTTTCCTGAGGTTACATATAGTAAAGTGCAGAACCAGGAGTCTCTTCCAAGTACTACTGTTTTCCACACAATGGCATGTTGGCAAACTAGCTCTCAGTGTCCATGATATAAATATGAATGCTTCCACCATGGCCTGTTTCAAGCAATGCAATATTAACTGGCTTGCAAATTAATAAAAATGCAGTCAGTTCTCACAAGCCAATATGATAAGGCCCCAGCATACCACTGTTTCACACAGCGTGGTTTTCACCTGGCTTTTCCAAACCCTGATGCTACCTCCTGCACCCAAAGGGCACCAGATGAAAAGAGCTTCTCATTTTGCTGGCAAGGATCCATGCTTCTGGCATGAGCTTATTATAGGGACATTGAAGACATTTTTTTTTTGCTCTTTATGACATACCTATGAAATAGTGATGATTACTGTTTTTTGGAAGCTGTAAAACAAAAATATCTCCCTGTAAGGGCATCTTTCAGTTACAGCTTCCGTCTCAACTCAGTACACTGGTAACTAGTGCCTTAGGAAGACTGTCAAGGTCAAAACTGGGCTCCTAGTCTATAAAATGAGTAAATATTTAAAAGCAGCAAATAAAAAGGCTCCTCAGAAAGACTATTCCACGTTCTCTCTTCTTGCCCCTGTGACTCTGCTAGGAAACAAAGCAGAAACATCCCTTCCATTAAAGCTTCCACGGTATATAC